CTCCGGGCTGTGTGGAGGAGAGAAGTAGACCATCAGCCCTGGGTCTAAGGCCAGGAGGAGGGCTGCTCAGCACTGCGTCTCCTGGCTCCTTGCCCTGCTCCGCACAGAACTGACCTACTCACAGCCTGGGATCCCAGTTCTGCATTTTGTTTTCTGGAGATTCTTGGTTTGTACTGGCTTTTCTGAAACCCTGAAGAATGGATCTTTAATCAGACAAGAGTATCAGCACCTTATTCCACTCTAAAACACAGTGGACTCTGAATTGATCTGAAACGGAGACTTCTAGCGTGAGTGTAGTGAGGAACTTGGCTGACGCCAGGCATCTGTCTCCTGCCCCCACTCCCACCCCTGGCCAGCTAATGCTGAGGCAAAGGACCTTTCCCACCACATCACTGGCTCGGGAAGCTTCCTGGACACTTTGCCTTTGGTAACAGATGTAGATACCTAGTGCCATTAGCATGCTGGGCCCTGGGCGGCTCTTCATTTTCTCCGGCAAAAAGTGAAATAATTGAAAACAGTGCTCTAAAAACATCTATAAATGGGTGGGCGCCAGTTGTCATTTTCCCCTTCCTGTGCCTGCTTCCCCTCCCTTGACTGACTTAATGAGGATCCAAGCTGAGAAGCGATCGCTGCAAACAGCTGGTAGCATCATGCCTTTAAATAGCCCTCGCCACACTTCCCCCTTGGAGGCACAGTTTGCCCTGGCAGGGAAAGCCCGGGACACACAGGAAACTTCAGAATTTTCTGCAAAGGCGAGAGCTTGCCTCTCAGTCGTGCTCTCTGATGTAAAGACCTTGCAGCCCCTTCCTCAGAAGTGTTCCTAGGAACACAAAACTGAGCAGCTGAATAGCTCCAGAACCTGGGAGGGACGGCAGGGGACTCCTTGGGACTATGGCTGCCAGACTCGGGCCACTGCCCAGAGCAGCCGGCACCATCCACTCACCAGCCATGTTGGTGCGCTGCTGGAGCCTAACTACAGTCTCTTCCCTGTCGTGTGGCCACAGTGACCCCGTCCACAGTGACATTGAAGCAAGGGCTACAGAGGCTGGGGGCTGCCTGTTCTCTCTGATTCTCAACTAAGAGGGCTAGCTCTCCTCCTCCACACATCCAGACTGTTGGGAAAACAAGCCGCTGGAACACGTAAGGAATGAACACCCATCATGTCTGGCTGGCAGCCAGGGTTGCCACACTGACCATTGTGAGCCTTGCATCAGGGCTTCTCTTGATCTGTCCAGCTTTGTTCGAGGTAAGAGACCCCTCCTGCTGCATCACAGCCCTTCCTTTTTGCATTAAGAATGTTTGGTCTCAGGCTGGTGAGATGGCTCAGTGGTTAAGAGCACTGACTGCTCTTCCAGAGGACCCACTATCTGTGATTCTAGTTCCAGGAGACCCAACACTCATGGCAAAACACCAATGTACATGAAATATAAATAAATAAATACTTTTAAAAAAGAATGTTTGGCCTGGTGGAGCTGTTCACAGTGCTTTAGAGTCAAATGTCAGAGAAGGACAGTGATTTAGCCACGGTGGCGCTTTGTCTGTCTTCTGCTCCGATTCCTGGTACAGATGGAAATTTAGGAATGGACAAGTTTTCTCAGCACCGAAACTCTACATTTATTGATGGAGTATTCTTCTCTCACCCACCTTCTTTAACAGTTAGTAATGCCTGTGCTTAAGCCAACCCTTGCCTACCAGTGGCCATCATGAGCTGTAGTCATTAAAGCCACCACGGACAACATGCTGAACCAGATCTAAGCCATTTTTTACAGGGGCTAGCAATGTGGCCTGTCAGGGAGGGTGTGTGAATCTGGGGGTCAGCGCCGTGGAAACATAAGAAATGACTGTGCAGAAGAGAGTAATCTGGTGCTCAAGAGGCTTGGAAAGCAAGAGCATCGAGTCCAAATGGGCAGAAAGGTAGGGAGTGGTGTGTGTGAGAAGGAGGGAGAGGACGGGGCATGTACATAGACCTGGGGCACATTTACTTAAACTGTGGGTGGGCTTAGGAGTATGTCATCCCTTAGTTGTGTAAGGTACGTGTAAAGGAATGGAGGGGTATGCATTTTTCTGAGGAGACGAGGGTTCTTTGTTTTCTTTACTTTTCAAAGGAATATATACCTCAAAAGAATTGAAGAATGCATTTGTTATTTAAAAAGGAAAAAAAAAAGCAAACAAATGGAAGGCAGCTAGTGAGAAGCCCTGAGAGACAGGACAAGAGTTTGGAGAATGTTAAGGTCTCGGTCAGGGTGGTGACAGAGACAGTTCATCTCTCTGCAGCAGAAAGACATGGCTGGCTGTGTCCTAAGGGAAGTGGGCTTCTGCAGCAATTTTGTTAAAAGATAGCAAGATTGGAACAGGAGTGTCACTAAGAACAAAGAGACTCTGAAGGGTGGATTCCCTGCAAGGATTTAGGGAGCCTTGGAAACCAAAAGCGCTCTTACAGAAGTGCAAATTCTAGGTCAGAATGTCCTGCAGGTGGTTGGGACTGTGTGACTTGTAATTTGGGAGGGGAAGAAGGGTGGGGACCAGGCTAGAGAGTCCTGAACGTGATGTAAGCCTTCGCTCATGAACTTGCTCTCTGTGAAGGGAGTGGAGAGCAGGGCGAGAGAGAGAGAGAGAGAGAGAGAGAAGAAGG